TTCTTATGGAGTTTTTTTCATCATCCTAAAAAAATAAAAATAAAAACAATAATATGTGCCTCTAATAATCCTCTTTTGCTTATTCTGTTTGTTTTACTTGATGATTTGATGATTCAGAATAAGCAAATATCACTTGAATTTGAACCATTGCATATTCTAAACATGTTAGCCACGAGAGCCATGGAAATTGTCTAAATTCTCAATTTTTTTTAATCCATAATATCTCAAGTACTCTCTAAAAGTTTGTTGTGTTTTACAGAAAAGAAGAGGGGCACAAAAGTAGTTATCACAATTGCAGTGCTCATAGGGTCATTAACCATTGCAATCTGTATTTATCTTTCCTGGAGGTGGATAGCTAGACCACAAGGTATATGTCCATTAAAATTAGCTCAAGTGATTATCACATGTTGCTTTTAGTATATAGATTGCAATAATACAGTGTGTCTCAAATGCAAAGTCGTCTCAACAGAGCCGGAGGACATGTTCTTTGAACAATGTAACTGTTACAATAATAGATGGCCGTCAGCATGCAAATTCTCATGATTTTTCTCAAGTACACTTTAATTCAATACGCGTAACCAGAGCAACTGGTAGAGCACTTGTTTTTCAATTGCAATTTTGCTCAAAACCCGTGGAAATGGTTTGTGGATCTTTTTAATTGGTATTGGAATTCAGTGGGAAAATTCTGATGAAGCAGTTAGAAATTAGAGTATTCATGATAGCGCTTCTTGAAACGTTCCTCGGGATGCTAGGCAAATTATATGGAATGTTGCTGATACTGCGAGGGCGCCTTCCTTGTTACTGTTTAGCAAATTGAGAAGAATGTAGTCTTCATTGTTTGCTGCTGTTTTGAGCTTGTTCGGGCTCTGTTTCTTGGTTCTCGGAGAGTACCTCCTTTCTGGTTTGAGTGTGCGTTCTCACCTATCGTTGTGCTTTTATTGATTTTCGGTACCTGTATCAAGTTTACTATCGTTGACTTAATCCGAATTGATTAATTATCGTAACAAATTCGAAGAGAACTCTCTATATCCAGAGACTAGTAGGAAAATGGACACAGTTTTTTCTGTGTAGTAGGAAAATGAACACATGTATATTATTACCCTTTCCTTCATTCTATTTTAAAGGGCCTTCCTTACTCATATGCACAAATCACACAACAATGGGGTCCACAAATACAGATCAGATAACAAGTGCCTGTGATAATGGCATTACATGTACAGAATTCAGGTGTTTTCTCTAACAAGGAGAGAATGAGCAGAGCAAACATCACATAGTTAGTTTTGTTACTATGGGTATGTTTGGAAAATTTAGGACGAAAAATATTTTTTAAAAAATATTTTTTTATTTTTTGGTGTTTGGTTGTCATAAAATATTTACGGAAAAAAAAAAAATATTAAAATTTAACAAAAATAATTTTTTTATCAATTTTCAACAAGTTTTTTTATATGTCCCGCTCGACGGACTCGACCTCAATCTCGACGTCAACCTTTGCTAAACACCGTCAAGTAAAAATAAAATAATATTTTATTTAAAAAAATAATAATAATTTTCAAAAAGAATATTTTACGTTGAAACACAGAAAGCCTAAATGTTTTAAAAAATTTTGAGAATTGATTCAATCATTTTTCAATCTTTTTTTTTTTTAAAAAAAATGAAGGAAAAATATCAAAATTGTCTATTCTAAGAGTTTATTTTCACTTTGGTTGAATTAAACAAATTAATTACATATGCATTGAGAAATGCCTTCCAAACTCTTATTCCAAAATCAAAATTATAAATCTCCTTTAAAACTAATAGTATGTAAGTTTCTTTCTACTGAGCAATTAAATTTTGAAACAAAGGAACGAGTTTTATCAAAAATAATAAACCTTTAACTATATCAGGTATAGCAGTTGGAGCCCCACCAGGCGAAATTGAAGAAAATGATATTAGACATTTAACTTAACTATGCAATTGAAATATATATATATATATATTTAGTATCTTAGAACAGTAAATACTCAACAACTATTTCATATATTAGTAGTAACTTAGAAATAGTGGCCACTATTTAAATGAACCCAAATAGTAATAGTACTAGTAAATAGTAATTAACCTATGGCACTAAATAATGAAGGTAATATATGTACTAAAGCAGTTCTCATACCAAATTCTCCAATATTCGGATGTGAGTGAGGTTTTTTGTTAATGAAAAAAAAAAAAAAAAAAAAAAAAAAAAAAAATATATCTCCAATGCTCCATTCCAGTCCAATAAAAGTACTAATAGATATAAAATAAATAAATAAATGGAATAAACTTTTAGGTATTCTGGAATAAGATTTTTGAGGGCATTTTAGACTTGAACAAAGGTTCTCAATATATATGTAATTAGTTTGCTCAATTCAATCAAAGTGAAAATTAAACTTTTAAAATAGATCACTTTGTTATTTAAGACTCCTAATACTACCTAAATGTAGTTTTCCCAAATTCTTCTTCTCTTATTCTCTCTATTACATAGGGTTTTGTTTCATGTGTTTTCAACATTAATATATTTTATGTGTTTATACTTTATAGTCCCATTTTAATAAAAATTTCACACTCTTATAAATTTTTTTGCGCATGTCAAACATTTATATATAAAGTGTCTCACATTTGAAAGTTCGCTTAGCCCTCTCAAAATTTTTGGAATCTCAAAGCCGCTACATGTCCAACATGTGTATAGATTTATAATTCAAAAATGAAAATATTTGTTATAATTTACATAATTCATGGATTGAGCACACGTCTTTGAGATAATTAGTAGCAAATCCAATTTCAACGTGTCGCTTACATGTCCAAAATGTGCATTAGTTTTTTTTAAATTTTACATACACCTTCTTCACCCTTTTTCTTTCTATATCAATTATTCTTTTTGTTGAAAATTCCTTTCTATAAAATACTTTTCTTGAAAACTCTATTGCAATGAATGATTTTTTTTTTTCCTTTTTCTGCTTTTCTCAATTAATTAATATTATATCTTGTTAATCTTTCAAAAAAAAAAAATTATACCCCAAGGAAAAAAAAAAAAAAAAAAAAAAGAGGAAATATTTTGAAGGCGAATTCTATAGATGTAGGTTCTGATATAATATGCATCTCTCTTTTTTTTCATAAAATCCCCGTTATTGAAATTTTATTGTCAAAATAGTTAGAGCTTTTCTCATCAGCAAGAAAAACTTCAAATTTTAAATACACTTCAAATTAATTCTTAAAAATCACAAAAAGGAAAAAATTGAAATTAAACTCAAAGCACACAATATAAAAGGAAAACTAAAAGAAAAAATTACCATCACCATTCGCATCAATGGTGTTGAATGGCTCATAAAGCTTTGATAATTTTTACATACTTTCAGTGCTAATCTTCCATTGTTATATACAAAGATTAATATTAAACATTAAGTGAAAGAGATGGAGAAAGTGAGACAAATATATATTTCTATAATTGAAAATGTAATGGTGATATTTGAGAAAAATAATTATTTATTTATAAAATTAGGAATAAAAGTGTCACTTCCTTTAAGAATGTAGTGCAATTGTATAAAAATAGAGTGCGAATATCATCTTTCTTAATTTATTATACTGAAATGATGGTGTTATCGTCATTTTAAGTCTCCAGTGAGCTATTTGCACCAAATCAATAGCATAAATTTTAAACTACACAGAGACTATTTTGCACTATGTCAGTGAATTTTTTTTTTTAAATTTTTTATTTTTGCACTTAACCCGTAAGTATTTGTTGTACAAGGGCTAGTTTATAACTGATTTTCAGATGAATTTGGGCTGACTATTGGTCTGCATTAGTGGGTATGTTTTAGTGGGCTGCTTACAGCCCATTTGTTGGATCCAGTTGTACGGATATAAAGTTTTAACAATTTCATATTTTTCATCCTTTGCTTTCTATTGAGGTCTAATAGAGTTTTAATATTAAAATTACAATGCAAAAATGAAAACCTGTTGGGTTTTTTTATATTCAAATAAAGTGGGCATGAGCAATAATAGTTCATAAAGAAACAAGTTATGGTTGGAGTGGGCATAAAATAAGCGATTATTGTTATTAAATTTATTTTTTAGGAGCATCAAATTGATGATTTGAATTTAAAATTGAAAAAAATTAATTAAAGGTTTTAATTAAATTTTGTCCAATTCTAAATTCAAGTCACTGATTTGGTACTCCCAAACATAGTATTATTTTATTCCAACACCAAAATTGAGATTATTAAGCCACTGTCAGAAAATTTTCTCGACAATAATACATGCGGAACCGAAACGGCATATACCAGGTAATAAAAACATTTTGGGCAAATAAAAACATTTTGCCCTTCATCAAAAAAAAATTTTATTCGCCCAAAATGTTTTTATAAGAGGTCGGATACCACCATCTTCATCAAAAATTTAAAATATACTCTCTATGGTATGCAAATAGATTGTATAACCCCCGATAGGTTCACAGAAGTTCACGGTATTTAATTTTGGGCGAATAAAAACATTTTGTTAGTAGAGCGTCTAAATGACTAAAGGGCACTTTTGTATTTGACAAAGAAAAGGTGAAAAACAAACGAAATGTAAAATGACAAAAGTACCCAAGCGAAAACGACACCATGAGGGAAATGGTGGTTATATTGTAAAACGGGGCAAGGACATTTTTGTAAAACAAAAAGAATAGTTTAGGGATTTTTGTACTAAATATAGGCATGTGTGATGCACATGACCACTTTAAATGAGGTTTTTTTGACCACTTTAAATGAGGTTTTTTTGACAGATTTTACAAATTAAGCCTTTATTTGCCTTTTTTTTTTTTTTTGGAAAACTTAATAGAGTTATATACCCAAAACAAACTGTAAGACATAGGAGATGTTATTTGCCAAAATTTAAAATAATTGGGGTGTTTTTTTACGCTTTACCCTAGAAGATATATGCTACTTGCATAGTAATGGATCTTTGTGATAATTAAGAACCATGATGAGGTATCTTGATGCAATTCTAGAAAAAGAGTATTTCAGTGAAAAGTAACAAAGCCACTTGCCATGGAATTAGAACCGAAGTCTAATTATAATATCAAAAACAATCAATAATATCTCAATCAAACAAGAGAATTTCAATATAGAGCATATAATAGCCACTGAAATTGAGTTAACTACTAGGTGTTTTCAATTCAACCATGTATATATATTCTCCTCTTGTAGACGCAATGAATTGCTCATAGTCTCCTGTCATCACCTTGAATTTTATAGTCTCTGGCCATGGTGGTTTTTATATGATATCCTGTAGAAACAATTGAGCAAAACCAATGTCTAATTCAACCCAAAATATATATATATATATATATAAATCATCAAAATCTAATAGTATATAAAGGAAAGAGTACATGAAGGCATACCAAATGGATGACAAAGTAGTAGAGTCCTTGCTTATTCATTAATGGTGAGAATTAGAAGCAGCGCAGAAAGGCTCATCATCACCATGAATTCGTGCTGGAACTTGAAACCCAAAATGCCCTTCTGAGGCAAATCTGTTGCTGGAGATGGAAGATTGGTTTATCTCCGGCGCATTGTGATGCTCCGGTGAGGCAATTGGCGGGTCATCCCAAGCACGAAACGAGGGCCAAAAACTGGACTGAAGGGCTCTCCTTTGAGAAAATGGTGCTGAGTTTTGACAAAGCAAAGACTGTTGTGGCATTGTGTGAGAATTGAAGCCGTCATTCCAAGCCACCATTCGCGGATAATTGGACTCGAAAGTCACCGGAGCTGAACCCGAAAAGAGGGTCTGATCAACTGAAGTTGTGTGGCTCGCAGTGGGGTCTTGTAAAGTGTGGAGAGAGAGGCAGAGATCTCCAGTCTGGATTGTGGCTCTTGACATTACATCATGTGGGTAGTTGTGAAAATTCATCGATGAAGTCCCAGAACTTGTGGGCAAAAACAATTTCATTGTATCGATTGATATGGGTAGATTTGGGGAAGTGTTAATTGGGTTCTCACTCAATTGTCTGTGAAGCTGCAACTCATTCTCGGAATAAGATTGTGGTTGTGCCATTCCACTAGAGCCTGCGTTAGTGTCTGCATTGGGGGTCGGTGTTATATCATTTGGGTTCCATGGAGGTAGCTCGGCGAGCTTGTCAATGGCGTTTTTCGCCTTGTTGATGAGCCAATCTACGGCTTTGCTGGGCCGGTCATAGCCTAACCGGTCCTGCACATCGTAGAACTGAATTGCAGTGTTAGCCGATAACCGTACCCTCCTGTCTCTGGGACCTTTTGCAGTGTAGACCTTGCTGTGCCGGTCTTTCTTGCCGGTGGATCGGAGAATGTGGCCTCCTTCGACTTGTACTATCTCTCCTCCTCCTCCTCCACTGCTCTTCATTCCCATTATTAATGGTTTGGTCCAAAGCTTGGTGATGAAAGTGTTGATAGTACTTGTTGTAGTGCCTTCACTTTGTTCTTCAAGTGACCGTTGATCTTCTCTATCTTGGTGCAGATAATTCCTCTCAGAATCCAGATTCAGACCCTCACTTTGTTCTTCAAGTGACCGTTGATCTTCTCTATCTTGGTGCAGATAATTCCTCTCAGAATCCAGATTCAGACCCCCCCCCCCCCCCCCCCCCCCCCTGAATTTCCTCTCTCAATGCTCAATAATGTTTTGCAGCTCTGTATGTGTGTGTGTGTGTGTCAACTTTTACAACTTGCTGAGGTTGCTTCTGGCTTCTTGTTCACGATATCCAACTGTCACCCAATCTGAAACCTGATACTTCTGCTACTGCTGATCCCAAAAAAAAATATCCTGCCAACAAACTCTACACATCCAATAGCCCGGTGACACCTCCAAATCCAATTGAAAATACAAAAGATACCCACATGCTACCAATCAATTGTTTCACCAAAAACAGAAGATAAATATATGTTCACATATATATATATATATATATATATATATATATATAAGCACAAATTCAAAAAAGTAATACTAGAATGGGAATCACTCTGAATACAGAACTAGGCTATCCCCACCACACAAAGAGAACCAAAAAGTAGTGAGCATTGAATTTTGATTGAGACTTAGGAGGGTTTTTGGTAAATAATTGGTTTTGTACTTTTGGTTACTGGTGTAGGGATTTTAGAGAATGCAACAGATAGGCTGAAGAAATGGGTGGCACATTTAATGTGTGGATAAATGATATCTTGGCACATGAGAGCTGTTTGTTTGAATCTTCTGCAACACTACTTCTTTGCAAAAGATATAAAAATGCCTCTGCTATTAGTGATAGAGCTATCTTTTTGGTAGGTCTCAATTCTTTAGTGTGTAGGGTCAATTCTTAACATACATTGGTCCGAACAAACTATGATAATGAGACTATGGTTTATGAAAGGGTAACTGAGTGGGCCCACCCCCCACCCACTCAAATTGAAAGTTTGATAATGGTCTCTAACAGCTTTTCTGGTTTCTTTGCTAGCATGTTGTACTTTTGTAGTCTCACTGAAAAGTAGTGCAGTTTTACTAAAAAGAAATCACAAACGTGCTTCACTTTGGTTGCACTTTTCCTACCTCTTTATTTATTTATTTATTATTATTATTATTATTATTTTTCTCTTTTGGATAATTACATTGACACTCCTTTAAAATTTTGGTCAATGTCATTCAAATGTTGGTCAATAACTTTTTTAACAACGGCACATCTATACTTTCAAATGTCATATTTGCCCTATATTATTTAATTTATAAAACATCAACTTTGTTAATTGACGAAACTACCCTTATCATTAAACATCTTTCTTTACCCTAATCTCTAACTTTTTGTTTTTTTTCATTTGAGTACCTAGTCGCCGACACTCCCTCTCTCTCATTTCCTCTTTTTAACTATGTTAGTTTATTTTTTATTTTTTTTGGGTAAATTGCTCCAGTAATACCCCTATATTTTAAGGGTTTTAGTTTAATTAAATTAATTGTCTTATTTGATTGTTTGGTTATTTTGTTTATTTGAATTGTTTAATTGTTTATTGTTTAATTATTTATTTATTTGTTGAATTGAATTATTTAATTGTTTATGAGCTAATTGTTTAATTGTTAATTTGTTTGTCTAATTGATTAGGTGTAGTAATTGATTATTTATTTAAATTGTTAGTTGTTAGGTTTATCTTATTTGTTTATTATTTAGAAGAAATGGATTGGGTTATTAGTACTTGGGCCAAAAGTGGTCTTGAATTGTGAAGGAGAAGGCCTAGATGGCTAATTAAGCTTAAAGGCCCATGAGTAAGCGATGTATATATATACACATCAGTGTATATATTTCTTTGGGTGTCTTCTATATTATACGAATATTGTAAATTATATTATTATTATTATTACTATATAAATTTTATTTTGTAGTCAGACTTGTTATAGGATTAGGTTTAGTTAGTTGGGTGTGAGTATTATATATATATAGTTATCGAAGAGAGGGTTTTACGTGAGTTGCAAAAGAGAGGCAGAGAGAGAGAGAGACGCAAAGAGAGAGAGAAGGAGGTTGTGTGGGTAGTAACCGGATTGAAAAGAGTAGACAACGACAACCCAAAGGCTGCCGGCACTGGAGGAGAAGACAGGAGACATTGTAGTTTGATTTTAAATCCGAAAATCCAAAGGCAAGTTCTTTTCTACTCTTCTCCTTAGCAACTATAAACTTTACACCTTTAGCTTGACTTTAAGATCTTAAAACGAAGAATTAAAAACTATTTAATGCTATAATTTGAGTTGTATCGTATTTTGTATATATATATATGTGTGTGTGTGTGCGTGTGTATATTGCTAAATCTTGTAATTTCACATTCTAAATCCTTTTTCTAATTGCTATAAACTTGTATTTATGTAGTATATGAGTTAGGGGAGTCAATTACAAGTTTGAAAATCTGTTGTTGCGAAGCAGCACTCAAGCATTATGATTTGCGCTCTAGCCCTGGGCAGTGCTTGAGCACTATGATTTGCGCTTTAGCCCTAGGCAGTGCTCGAGCACTAAGGATTTGTGCTCGAGCACTGGGCAGGGCTCGAGCACAGCCCTGGGACTAGAATTTCGTTAAAAACTTCCCCGAATAACCCCCAAACTGACTTGTGAGGTTTTGAACATATCCTCAAGCTTCAGGAACAGCGCAATAGGTTTTAAATGCATGAAATTGTATTATATTCTTCGAGATTGGATGAAAAATATTTGAACCAACTAATAAGTTGTGAATTAATCTTTTATGATATTTAAATTGTTTAATTAAATGCATAAACCTGATTTATAATTATAATCTTGTATGTTGGTGTACTTATGATCTACAAACATGATCTATGACCGTATTTATATGATTTACCATTGTTAGTATGGTTAAACTGATAATTAATGTATGTATGTGATGAAATTTTTTAGATGGCTAATAAGCTTAGTTCTACGTGATATGTTGTCATTGTTAGATATGGCTATGATGGATTTAATGTGTATATGTGATGGAATGTGTGGGTTGTCTAATAAGTTTAGTCTCACATAGATTTTTCCATTATTAGATATTGCTTTGATGATTTGATGAGTAGGTGGGCTGGCTAATAAGTCTAGTCATACTACATTATACCATTGTTAGATATAGCTTTGTTGATGATATTATATATATATGTATGGCCTGATACGAGTTTATAGTCTCAGGATCAGTGGTTAAAACTGAGGCGTATATTGTCGGAGATGAGTAGCTTATATAGGTGATTGGTGGGCCCTGGTAATATAGGGGACTCTTGACCACTTTGTGTGCTATTTTTTAGGTGATACTGTCTATCAGGTTGAGACTGCCCTATACATAGTGGAAATTTTGTTAGTGTATATATATGTATGACTATGTAGCTATTGCATAAGTTTTAGCTAAAGATGGATTATTTATCGATTCTTTGATTGGGTCGTAGTAGAGAGTATTTGCTCGTGTGATTGACCCACCATTGTTATATTTTTTAGGTGTACATTAGTTCTAGACTTAGAGGTTGTCATGATAATCAGAGACAATTCATCATCACTCTTTAGTTTATCACGATGTAGGATATTATTCCTTATTATTGTTATTCAAACTCAGAGATTCATTTATTTATTTTTAGTTTATGGGATTATTAAGGGGTCCTTGATTTATAGATTCTCGAGTTGTATTTTGGAGGTTTACGTTATTCATGTAGGATTATTTTATTATGGGATTTACTATGGTAGATTTTATTAGAGGATTTATTAATATATGGGATTTGTAATTATTATTAGTTTTCTTTTCAACATTTATTTATTTATTCTTATTTATCATTTGTATTCCGTGTTTATTTATCATTAATTGTTTGATATCCCCCGGTTTCTGGGTAAGGACCTGATCAACCCGCGCTTGAAAATTGGGGGAGGGGGGGGGGGGGATATCACAGTTGGCATTAAAACACTCCAAGTTCAAGTGTCTTGAGGGGTTTCTATCAGTATATGACTTCCGCGTAGCGTATTATTTTGTTTAGAGCCTAATTATTAGGGGTCATTGTATTCTATTTCAGTCCGTTAATACGTACTAATGTCAATCTTATTCTGTGTTGAAAATATGGTTAGCTTCAGGAGAAGATGGGAAAGAAAAATGGCCAAGAGTGAAAGGAGACAAGATCGTTGGCGCCAAAATCGCCTTTGCAATCAAAGAGTTGTTCAAGAACATCAATTGCTTTATAAGGAAGAGCAGCTGGAGTATCAAAAGCATCAAGATCAAGGCATTGTCCAGGGTAGGGATCTAGAGTATCCTCCCCATATAGCTAATATCAATATTCAGGTTATAGCTGTTGGAGTAACAGTTACACTTCAGAATCCGCAACCTCCCTAGCAAGCACCCGCTTCTATACCAATAGTTCAACCTAACACTTGGGAAAAGATTAGGAATTCCTTCACAAAGGGAAACCCACCAGAGTTTTTAGAGTCCACGGATATGAAGGTAGCGTATCAGTGAAAAAAGAATATCGAGCATCATCTTCGCATGGTTAAGTGCACAGAGGTCCAGAAGCAGATGTTTGCTAGTTTCATGCTTGTGGGTGATGCACTATAATGGTGAAAGTCTGTTACCACAACAGAGGAGAAGACTACATTGAGATATGCTCAGTTCCAGGTTTGTTTTGAAGATAAATATTTCTTATTTGCAGTCAGAGTAACTAAGAAGAGATAATTCCTTAACTGACAGCATGGGGATAGGACAGTTGTAGAGTATGAGCAGGAGTTCACTAGTCTATCCTTATTTGCTCCAGATGAGGTGGACATAAGGGAGAAAAAGAGAACTTACTTTGTTAATGGGTTAATCTGCCCATCAATCAAGTGATTGCACGTAGTCTAGCCTACATTACTTACTCATAGGTGGTTGATACAGCCTTATAGCATTATCAGATGAGGAAAGACTACAAGCAGTCCAGGGGTAAGAAGCGGAGTGACAAAGACTCTACTAATCAGTCAACTCAAAAAGGAAATGGTAACAGTGGCAGGCACAATGATGGGGAAAATTATAGGGATAACAGCCTTAAAAGAAGTATAAGGGCAACTAAGATGTTTAGAGAGATGGGGTTCTTAATCATAGACAATAGGTTGG